TCCAAAATTTAAAGACAGCTCTTTTTTGTTGTTTTTTTTTTTTCAAATTAAATATATATTAGCATTTACAGAGTAAAAACAAAAAAAAAAAAAAGTAACTTTGCTTAATTAAAATTACATTAATACGACAAATGGTAAGAGAATATAATATGATATTATAATTGAATAACTAATTAATTTCTATTCCAAAAAAAAAAAAAACTTTAATGAATAGAATTTTTTTAGATATATGAATATGAGCCAACATGGTCGCGTATTGTTAGTGATCGGCGTAATATTTGGGAAGATAAGGCGAAAAATACCGATGCTCGTTTACAAATGTCACCCTCTTCGAAGGTTTATTAGAATGCATGAATATTTGTGTCAAATATTTATCCAATATTTTATTTAGAAATTTAAAGAAAGAAAAAAAGAAGCAGTTTAATTATATCACTTAATAAATTTCAGTATTAATATATAATAAGATAATATCCGTGAAAAATCCAACAAATTAATATCTTAAACTGATTTTCAATATGATTAAAAATTATGGAAGTAAAATATTTTATCAAAAAAAAAAAAATAATTAATTAAAATGAATATTTTGTTAGATTCCACCACAACAACCGCCATACTGGTACAATAGAGCTAATCAAACTCATGCTTTATGGCAAAATGAAGCTGAACGACAGAATCGTGAAGGTGGCGGATATGGTAATGTTACTCAAGCTAGCTACAATTATACAGATTATCGTACCGATCAACGCAAATATGATCGTTTAACCGGTGATTATGATGGTTTCGTATCACAGACACAATATACAACAACACATACGGATCGTGGTAATACTAATGGGGAAAATGTTGAACGAAAACAAGCACAATATTCTTCTTCCTATTCAAGCAATCAACAACAACGACAACAACAACAACAACGACAACAACAACAACAACAACAACAACAACAACAACAACAACAACAACAACAACAACAACAACAACAACAATATACGTCAGAATATGGAAAATCAGCTACGCAAAGCACTCATTTAAGTTATACTCCTGTACCTATTGGACCATCACATCCGGTATCCTCTGATACTCATACTCAACAACAATCATCCACCTGGCAATCACAAAGGTACAAAATTTAATTGGAATTTGAATTACATAAAAGAATTTGTTTAGGAATCAAAAAACGAAGCATATATGAATAATTTGGTTGTCCATAATAATTGCATCATTTAAATAATTTTAATTTAATTTCTTAAATTTTCATGTAAAAATAAATATTAATAATTTAATTTTCTTTTTCCTTTTTTTTTCCAATAACAGTTCACGTTATGAACAAAAAATGCATGAGCGTTCCACGGAAAGAATGATAAGCAAACAACCGGTCAATGCAATTGCGCTACCGGCATCAAATTCAACCGGAAGGTATGGAATCGAAAAAACGAATTATCAGCGAAAAACACATCACGAAAGTGCTACACCCTATAATACCTCGGTAGTATCCGTTACACAAGGTGATGGTGATTTCAATCGACGTGCTGAAATGTCTGAGGTATTACATTATTTTATTACTGATAATTTCTTCGTTTATCAATTATTCAATCTTTTTTTTTCTTTTTGAATGTAGTTTTGTCAAAATCATCAGAAGTTATTACAAAAATATGCTCATATCATTTTAATGCTATTTTAAATTCATTTAAGTTTACGTAAAGTGATGTGAAATTAGTTGCATTTTTTATTTCAATTCATTTAAATGCAAAAAAAAAAAAAAAGAAAAAAGCATATATTTCTTTAAAATACAATAAAAGAAATTTTCTTTACTGAGTAATGTTCGAAAAGAAAAAATCACCGATTAGTAATAAAAGTGCCATAAAACCTGAAATTAATTACTAATTGTGAAATTAATTGATATAAATGCGAATGCTACAATATATGTTAGCTTTATCATTGACCAATAAAAATATCACTTCTAAAGCTATCGTAAAAGATTGCTTCAATTCGATTTCTGAGTGGACAATGAATGATATGAATTGTTGACTTTTGCAATAAATGGAATAATAAAACAAATATATATATATATATATATATAGCTTTTTTGTTTTCTTTAAAAGATCATTTGCATTAATTAAATTATTTTGGTACGCATAAATTATATTCAAATAATTATCATTTCAATCAAATATTAAACAAATGTGGAATTCGTTTCGTTTCTTTTTAAATTTTTATATAATAAATAATTGTTATAATTAACTATACATTTCCTCGAAATTTTTGGAATGATTTAATAATATAGAATAAGTAATTGAAAATTGAAGAAAAAAGGAAGTAATTTTTGAAATGATTTTAGAATTTTTTTTTTTCAATTTTAATTTGTTGTATTATTTGATTATGCTTAAAAAGGTAAATTTAATTATTATGCTATTTATTGTAGGTATTACCTCGGGGTACGGTAGCAAATACGGAAGCAAGTTTGGAAGGTAATTATGTGGATAAGGATGGTCAACCTGTAACGTATAAGCGTGAAATTGTAACAAGCGTTAATCCGAATAGCGAAAGTACGCTGCTTAAAGAAGAAGAAAGGCGTGTTGTTGAGACACCATTGGAACCTGGTGTCATTTCCAGGTAATGATTTTTTTTTTTTCGTGTTAATTTATCTTTGAATAAACGGGATTTTAATTTTGAAAGTTTAAAAGTTTACAAAATATTCGAAAACTACTTTGAATTGAAGTCCAATCAATATCAACTAAGAAAGAAACCTAAATGTTCGAAAACGCAACTGAAATAGCTTAATTTAGCTAGTAGTAATTTAGCAAAATTATAGATTATTGAATCCAATATACTAAGAATGACTAATGGTAAACTTCTTAGTTAATATCGAGTCTTTGATAATTAATGAGAAAGAGAGGGAGAAAAAAAGAATTTCCATTTTTTCTTTTTCTTTTTTTTACATTTCAGACACGTAACCACAAAATATTATAAAAAGAAAACTGTGACCGATACGACAACGACAAACACAACCATTCATTGAATATAAGAAATTTGTCAAAAACCCCATAAAATCACATTTTTTAAATAAAATTCTCAATGCAAAATTTGTTTGCTTCCTTACAATCATTATTTGTATCATTATTAAGTACGAAATTATCATTTTAATAATTAATTCATTAAAAATAATAGTAACGTAAGTTAGCAATGTAAATTTTAACTCTTACGAATCCGAAATATTTGCATTAAGGAATATGCATCAAACCATCATACGACATTCATCACGATTGCTTCTAATATTGTCTTCATTATTCAGATAAGCTACAGCTAGTTTTTTTCTTTCTTCCTTCCATGTATTTGCTTTCAAATTTCGCTCAATTTTGAATATATTTGCGAGGTAAAAACTTCCCATGTTGTACATTAACAGATAAAGATGCTTCAAATGTTCCGTTACTGTTTGCTTTCCTCAAATCCATAAATCCAACTTCCTAAAGTTACAAAGCTTGTTATACAAACTGTAGATAAACTTCAGCAATCAAATGATCCAGCGAATTATTCAACCTGGAAACTTTACAAAATCTGAAAATTATTTCCTTTGTAATAGGCCACATAGAATTCAGTGCTAAGTGAGCAAATTGAAGAGAATGAATTTAAGAAGTTCACAATCGAAATCGTTCAACAGTTTAACAATGATGAAGTGTAGTTTAGTTCAACATCATGAACGTTCAACAGTTTAACAATGATGAAGTGTAGTTTAGTTCAACATCATGAACGTTCAACAGTTCAATATCATGAAGTGTAGTTCATGTAAAGGCTTCTATCGTATCCGTAACATACATAAGTTTCACAAAACTTTTATTTTTTCCGGACGATAAACTAAAATATTACAGAGCAGCATCACGACCTAAGAAAATTACATTTTAATTGTATAATAATAATAATAGTAATAATAATAATAATAATAACAATAATAATAGTAATAATAATAATAATAATAATAATAATAATAATAATAATAATAATAGTAATAATAATAATAATAATAATATAATAATAATAATTAATAATGATAATAATAATAAAAACTATCACAGAGAGATATTAAAAACAAAAAGCAAGCATAGTGGCTTATCCTACTATGGGTTTGTTAAAATATTCTCACCTTTTCATCAATTTCCACCTTTGTTTCAAAAATACAAAGGCATAAAAGATAATGTTGAGAATAGAAAGGGAGAAAGAGAGAGGGAGAGAGAGGGAGAGAGAGAGGAATAACAGAAACATGACAGTGGTCATATGACAATGTACTAATACTTTGTTTAATAAAACAACTGGAAAACATAATTGGTGGGAAAATCCATTAAACTATTCGGTGACTTTAAACAAAGTACAAAATACATAGGATAGAATCGCATGGGATTTATAAGTACAGTAATATTTGATTACGCAACATTATTTATGTTGCCATTTTTCGACAGAAGAGATGGAATTTTTTAATATCATCTTTATCCTTTGGAACACATTATGCATACGCGGTAAAGATGGTAGATCACAACTGGATTCACAAAGGCAATACGCAGGAAGTACAACCCAGGATATATGCATTTTACATTTGGGCATATTTCACAATATCGAGATCGCAATGAAAGCCCAAGCAGGCTTGATGACTGCTTACTTCATATAATGATCATCAAGCCATTTATTATCTATTAAATTTCAGTTGAAATATGATACGAAAGAAAAAAAAACACAATACTGTAACACTGGGATTTACTAAACAGATAAACACAATACTGTAGCATTAGAATTTACTAAGCAAATATCAGAACCAGGTATCCTAAAAAAATTGAATGTTTAAAAAAGCTTAACTGCACTTCCATTTGTTTTAGATGAAGTCAAGGAGAGAATTCAATTTTCGAGAAAGTAAAGATTTTTCACGCTATCTAATGTTTTTTTTTTTTGGATCAGTTTACCACTAACGTAAAACTGTTTTGAAAAGAATCAAAGAGATAGCTCTTTGATAAAAAGAACTATCTCCATACATAATGATCATGCAGAAAGCACTAGAAAATAACAGTTACAGAAAAGACTTTCCATAGCACACAAATGAAGCAAAATAATAAGGCAAAAATTTTAACCGACTGCTTTCGTAACGCGTCGTGTTCCTCTCTGTGATGGTCCCGGTGGTTTTGCAAAACTTTTTTCTTTCATTTGTGGAGCTGGATGAAAGTAATCAATGAGAATATCCGATGATAACAATTCCTTACTGTCGATTTCTATCTGAAAGGAGAAATTACATAACATTCTTCTCGTTTCCACAGCAAAACAGCTAGCCAAATAAAGCATCACAATCATTGCCATTTATGACATTTACCATTCAAATTCCAGTGTAAGTGCCACAGTTAACGTGTTCATGACCATCATCTAATCTACGTAATAAAGAGAACAGTCTTAATTACAAACTTCTTATTTGAGCATCATAAACCACTTTGTTATTCTTTTTTAGCTATCCGATTAACCATTTTATCATTTAATCTTAACCAAATTCCAAATTGTTTACAAACCAAAACCTTTTTATCCGGGGAAAGATTTGCAGCCAACAAAGCAGCTTGTAAAAATGGTTGTTTGCAGCTTGAGTAAAGCATCCGTTCTTTGATTGTACACCCCGAAGAAGGCATTGAATAGATGAAAACTGCAACAGAAAAAAGAAACATACATCAAATTATAAGGAAAGCGTATATCTACAAATGTCAAAGGCATTATCCATATTTGAAAAAAAAAATCTCATGGAATTTCTTAAAAGCAATACTCAAAATAAATTTTAAGCGTAAAACCAGTGCAAAACAAATTCTGATTCGTTAAGGAAATGAAAAAGCTTTCAGGCTTTATAGAATGCAAACTTACATAGACTATCGTAATCCTGACTATTATATTTATGAGAGAAACGATAGAAGTGATATCGTGGCTTGTCTCGAGGTATTACCTGAAAAAGGAAACATTGCTGTCAAGGCATAAAATGTGAAAACTGCTTGATCATTCAGTGTAGTGCACCGTTAAACACTGATTTAGTCATGACTTACTATGAATAGACACACTTATGATGCTTTTTCATTTCATTCATTCCATCCAAACCCTAATCTATCATCGGTAATTAAGAAAGGAAATTAGAACTTGCGAAATACTGCATCAATTTAGACCATAAAGATACAATAAAATTGGAGGATATCAAAAGAAAATTTAGGGTTCTCAGTAAAATTATAGATCTGAACCACGGATAAGGAGTTTGTGTCAACTCGAGAGCTAGAACGATAGGAAGTAGTCCGAAGTTTATACATTTCGAGAAAAGCGAAATAAGTTACTTCATTTAACTGTTCAGGAGAGATGGACGTTTCTGAACATTCCAATTTGATCGCTTCATTCAGTGTATCAACAGCTAACTGAACATAATTCAGCGTATGACTAGCTAACTTTCGTAGTTCTTCTTCAGCATCCTGATCCACTGGGAAGAAAACACCTGGAAAAGTTCAAATATTTAATGAAACACCCATTTAATCTTCCATAAATGTTTAGAAATCCCTGCACGTCATATTCTCTTAGTGAAATTCAAAAATGATTCCTTAAATTTCACACCAATGCGATTCTTTCAGATTGTAATTCTTCTCACATAAAGATCGATTCCAAAGAATACAAAGATGGCTCAACAATCATAACAGCTCTTCATTTCGATTGAATAAATACATATGTGCATTTCGTTAAAAGTATTACAACTAACCTCTGACAGTTTGTGCTGCAACAACTGACGGCGCAGTAACTTTAAGCTCCTGATGCGCATTATAAAATTCTTTTTCAAGCTCCGACATAGGTCCAGGATCTTCCTTACTCGAAAGCCATTTCTCAAATGCTTCCAATGTCATTTCTTTCTTATCTGTCACATGATACTCGTATCTGCAACTTTGAATAAAAAAGTGTAAAAGGAAAGACAGTTATTGACAGTCTCACGAACTAAAGTAATTAGCTGAATGATCGCGACTATGATACATCCTCAGGCATTTAATATTCAACCACGTCCGATGCAGAGTTATATCAATTTATGAAAACACACAAAGCTGAAAATCTAAACAATCAGGTGATATAAAAAGCAACAATCAACAGAATAATTCGAAAGCCAACAATGTACAATCTTGGTGAATATCGAGTAAAGAAAAAGTTAAATTTAATGCCTGATATTGGATTGTCCGAATTCTGATTTGAATGTAGCCCATGTAGCAGCAAAAACCATTTTCTCACGAACAGGAGCACGATCATCAGCAAAGCTGTAATAATTTTACAGTTATAGGTTCTTTAAAATTGCAAACATAATCGTATTTCCAAACAGTATGCCAATGATATACGTCTTTTCAGTTTTGCTTTATGATCTTGTTCAATTAAATTTCTTGAGGACAATCAAGAAAGAGTAAGATAATTGAAAATCTTTCAAAAATATTAAGACTCTATCAAAGACCATACAGTTCATCGCCATTTTTCTTCAAGCTGTAGTTAAATATGATAACATGTTCCTCAGCTACATATATAACTAGCACTATTTTCAAACTGAAAGAAAAAAAACGAACCTCATTAGAATCCAACCATGTGGTTCATCGACACGAAACAAAATGTAGCATGGTTCAAATGCGTCAATGCAATCCGGCAAATGACGTTTGAAATCGGCACGCCAATCAGCTGTACCTTTACCTTGGAAATTAACGCATAATTCTTCTGAAATAAATTAGCCATATAAAACTGGATTCAATATTTTTGATAACATAAAAAAGCGAACAAAGTAAAAAATGAAATTAAACAAAAAGTAAACTAATATGAAAATTTTTCTTACTAATAATTTACAATAGTAGTGTGAAATTTCGAAAAAGTCCCTTCAATTATCACAGCTGAGAATACTTGTGTTTTCATTTAAAGAGATGCTGTTGATACTGCTAGGATCCAACTGCAGATCATACAGAGTTATGGGAGTACAAGTGATGAGTTAATCACCGTGATCGATAATAAATCATTTCTACGGCTAGTCAGGTGGTTAATATTATTTCAAACTCCTTCATTAAAAAAAAAAAATACCACTAAAAGTTGATACCATTTTTTACAACAATTTTCGCAAGTCTTATCTTCCCCGATTTGCATTCATTGAAAAACCTCAGCAATTTATCGCTTGCTGAAAAAAGATAATAATGAATCAGCGAAGCGTTTCGATAAGCTGAGAACTTCATTACTACGAATAAAAACTCACTCTCAGTTCTCGTCCACTCTCAGTTCCAACCAATGCAAACTTAACAACCTCAATTACAATAATTGAAAAGATCCCACCGAATTACAAGTTCTATATAGAACAAAAATAGAATCGGACATTTCAAGAATTAACCTACAGTTCAGATTAAATAATTATGTGTGGGAAAAATGACAAACCTCGAATACCGGATTGACAAGCCATGATGTTAGGATAATAATAGTGAAACTGATTAGGGGTACAGTTAATGATATGATATAAAACGTTAGTTAAACTGCAAGATATAAGAAAATCAAAACACTGTACAGTACAAAAAAAAAAAAAACTAAATCATTATGATAATTGATCGCTTATATTTACCAATGTTTCCAAAACAAGTAAAACTCAAAAATGCCTATTCCATTAAAAAAAAAAAAGTAAGCATTTTTTGGATAGACATACATCTTTGGGACAAAAAATGTAAATTGGTGAAAGTTTCAATTAAACTAAAATTTTTACCAAAATAGTTCTTTTCTTAATTTTACAATCATTTCTAAATAAAGAAAAAAGCGTATTTTTTTATCCGTTTAATTAACAAAACACGCATTTCCTATTGGATCACTCAAAGAGGCACTCAACCATCCCAGAAGCGCATCAAACCTTCCAAACAAGCAAAACATTCATTTCAATTCAACACCAACTGACAATATCCAACTACCGCAAACAATCATTCCGGATCCGATCCTGACTTCACTGCTGCAGCGCAAATGGCAAATGAAAATTATTATTGTGCATTTGATAGATGGAAAATGAATTAATTCTTGTAAATTATTTCGGATTGAAAATTACCGGTATTTAATTAAAAATTCTTATATATGTTAAAGAGATGAGTCGAAATTTATCTCATTTTTCAATCTATTTTCACTTGTACTAGAAAATTTTTTATTCAAAGATCGTAATTTGCATCACAGCTAATCATTTTGTTAGCATCACAGCTAATCATTTTTTTTTCAAAAAATAAGTAGACCTATTAAAATAAACTCGATAATTAACAGATCGGAAGGAAGGAGAGGAATTTTTATTTTTGTTAGACTAAATTAAAACTAAAATGAATGAAATATTTGTAAAAAATTATAGTAGAATATTGCAATAAAATGTAAAATTTTGATTATTTTGTATACGTAAAATTTTGATTATTTTATGAAATTTTGATTATTTTATCAAAAATATACATTTTTCCTTATTGACATGAAACGAATGCTTTTTTTTTGCCGTAAGTTATTTATTATTTTCTTTTTTCGTCTTCTTGTTATGTTGAATCGATTTAATACAATATTTCTTTACTGATGAGTAAGTTTACTTTGAACTTTGAACTTTTACACAATAAATTAATATTAGCTTAAGAATAATCAAATATTGTTTATGTTAGTTAAGATATCTCCTAGCAACAAATAAATATGGTAAATCTAATCGTACACGTGTACAGCAGTCATTATACTTGATTAATTTTTAGTAATAAAATCATCCAACCATTTGATAAACCATAAGAATGACTAAATGCCTAGTACAACTAATTATAGAGTAGTCATTATTGACTGTTAATTAGTCATTATACATTATTGATTACCATTATTCACTAACTAATCATTATTGGTTATTAATTAGTTCAGGAAAAGGATGGATGAATATTTGGCCTACTGATGGGATTCATTATCCTTTGCAGCAAATGCCTTAAAATTTATTTATGTTAGATTAGAATTTCGAAAATCCATTAGGATTCATCAATTAAGATTGATGAGATAATTAAGATTCATTGATTCAAATGTTCACTAAATCTGTCATCAAATAAGTATTCAAATATAATTAGGTTTGATTTGTTTGGGTGTTATTATTATGAAAGCAATAAATGATTCTAAAATATCAAAATATTCAGTTTAAATTCTCGTTTAGATTATTTTCCTCCTGCAAAAAATCAATCTCAAGCTTGCTTTGTTTACATTAAATAGCAAGATTTCATTTACACTTGATGAACTTTTGATCATTTCACTGGTGATCATTTATCATTGAGTTTTATGTTTATCGC